CACACACACACACACACACACATATATATATATATATATTAATATATATATATATATACATAAATACATGTGCACTTACGTATACACATACATACACACACACACATACACATACATACATACATATACGTATTTATATGTAGCAGAATTTAAGCTACCTACCTGACGCAGATATAAGCACGGCGGTATGGACCCATGATAAAAAGGTTCGCTCATTGGCGAAGAACACTTTGGGCTCAATCCTCGCAGGCATTCTGTTTGCTTTAGCTGAGTGTACGAGTGTATATTATACAATATTGATCCCCTGGAGGCTTGTTGTCCTAAAGTAAACTGGTAATTCGTAAATGTCTGTGTATTGCTAAAGAGTTTACATGGGATTGTGCGTGTCGTGTATACTGCAATGTCAAATATGTGTGGTGTATCACACTTACGCCTGTAGATCCTGTTGTGTTCTATGGTCTATTAGATATCTGCAGTTTGTGCTATATGGAGAGACTGAAGACTGTATGTGAGATACCGAGCAGTCGAGCACTCTGTCAGAAATCAATGACAATATTACGTGCGTGTGGAACTGTGGATGGTCACGGATACATTCATACACTCTCGAGTGACGAATCTCGAAGTCTCGAATTCACGATATCACAACAAGAAGTTATTGCTTTTTTAGGCGGTTCAGCCTTCAATCGTACCCGGGGAGATACAGTGATACAGTGTAAATAAATGCATTTTACACCCTCTAAAATTATATTGTCAAATAGACACGTCATGACTCATGAGTCACAAGGAAAACGTACATTCCAAGTTTCCTACCTAAAAAAACGTTTATACGAGTCAAAACTCAAAAAACGGAAAGATATTGTTCTATTTAATGGATATTACGTACACTCTCTATAGAATTCATATGATCATTTAGACCTCAAGACTCTGAGAATTCACCCATATATGACAGTAGTAGGGCCACCACTATATAAACGCTGAATTTTTTATTATTAATGTTTTTTGCTCTGATTTTAATCATGAATGCCTTTTTTATTGTTGTTTTTGTCTTTTTATTGGTATTGTTTTCAAAAAAAACAATACAAAAAGACAAAACGAAATATATAAAATAAAAAACAAAAACAAAAGTAAAACGTATTTATCGAGATTTATAGGACTTCACTACACAGAGCATTTGTACTATGTAGAATAAAAATAAACGTTTACGAAAACTTTAAATACTGTCCTCCTTTACAAACCTATTTAAAAAAAGTAATCGAGAAAAGTGTATGTGTTCGACTGTTTGTGTGTAACGTCAAACGTGTGTGCCAGAGTATGGAGGCGTGGAGACTGCTGGAGAGAGCCCGTTGTGGTCTTGTGGTGTGCTATCCGTGGTGCGTGGGTGTGGGTCGTGGGGCCGTGTCGCCGTGAGCTGGTCACTACTTACGAAGTTACGAGTCACTGGGGGCATGATTTTCACATTTGTCAGCAATGATTCAATGAGTATTCTGATTGCCGCTGCGTTGTGCAACAATAGCTTTTCATTGGATGCTATTATCAAAGGTTGTGGAAAAAAACTGCCGGATATGGTTCCTATAAAGGACGTTTTGAAAGAAAGGGCTGAAAGGCACGAGTATGGCCCGAAGAGGTTATTACTTATTAGAGTAGTTTAGACCTTCAGTCTTCACTCTTCAGGCTTCAGGCTTCAGTCTAGAGTTCGGACTTCAGAAGTTCAGAGTTCAGAGTTCAGACGGTCAAAGTGAGATTAACGACAAATCGACAATACAATTTTACTTAATAAATATTAAAAATACATCCTCTAGAAAAAATATATCATTTATTGGATAAAGATTATGTATTTTCATTCTGACAGTATTTTAGATGATATTTTTAGATGGGCTTTTTTTGTGTGAAAACTCTGGGTCTGGGACAGTGGAGTATGGACAAATGCACACTTGTTGTCGCAGTTTATATAGCACAATAACTGAATAACAAAATAATATAAATATTGAAATATCAAGGTCTCAAGCAACTTTGCGCACACCAGTAGTCATATATACATATATACTATATACATATATCTATATATCTATGTGTATGCATATATACATACATATTGATTAACAATTGGAACATCTGACGCACGTTAATTTTTCACTATGAAGTTCGGCAAGCATCTCCAGGAGGAGATGGCCCCAGACTGGAGGTTCAACTTTATCGATTACACTGGGCTAAAGAAGTTCCTAAAAATGAACGTTGCAAATACTAGCTGGGATGAGAGTTTGGAAACTAAGTTTGTTCATATGCTTGAAGAAGAGCTTAAGAAGGTACAAAGTTATAAGATGTTATACACAAAAATTCTTTAGAGACTCAGCTTGTATAACAGTGTTGAATATTGTAGTTTTTGAGGAGACGTATCTATAGGAAATTGTCAAGTGAGATGCTCTTGTTTCATTTCTATGCTGGTTGCCTTCTGAGAAACTAATCGATAGTCTTGAAAATTGTAGATTACGAATGAATTTCTTCATTACGTGATTACGTGATT